AATGGATTCTTTCACTTTCAGCCACCGATATTAGACTCTACACCTCAAGAAAAATAAAGACCAAACTGCCAAAAATATAAGAAATGCTAAAAAAGAATGATCTAAGAAAATTCTGTAAGGGCTGAATGGAAGAACAAGGTTGTGCAGCCTAGCAAAAGGATGGGAGAAGAACATGATTAATTGTCTTCCAGTAACATGAAATGTTGTTGCAGGGAGGAAGAGAATGATCTGTTTGTCATGCCCCTGGTGGACAGAATACAAATCAATAGGCCAGCAGTGTGCCCTTGTTGCCAAGAAGGCCAATGGCATCCCGGGGTCCATTAAGAGGAGCATGGCCAGCCCTGGAGTACTGTGTCCAGTTCTGGGCCCCCCAGTTCAAGAAAGATGAGGAACTCCTAGAGAGAGTCCAGAGGAGGGCAACAAAGATGATGAGGGGGCTGGAGCATCTCTCCTATGAAGAAAGGCTGAAAGAGCTGGGCATGTTTAGCCTGAAGAAGAGAAGACTGAGAGGGGACCTCATCAACATGTACAAATATCTCAAGGGTGGGTGTCATGAGGATGGAGCCAGACTCTTTGCAGTGGTGCTCAGTGACAGGACAAGGGGCAATGGGCACAAACTGAAACATAAGAGGTTTCAGTTGAATATGAGGAAAAACTTCTTTACTCTGAGGGTGACAGAGCCCTGGAACAGGCTGCCCAGGGGGGTTGTGGAGTCTCCTTCTCTGGAGACATTCAAAGCCCGCCTGCATGATGTCCTGTGCAACATGCTCTGGGTGAACCTGCTTTAGCAGGGGCGTTGGACTAGATGATCTCCCGAGGTCCTTTCCAACCCCTGCCATTCTGTGATTCTGTGATACACTGCAGCAAGAAATATCCAGGCTAACAGTTAAGAAAATGTTTCCATCATTAAGAAAGCACTGGAGTTTCCCAGTGGTGGTGTGAAAGCACAGCTTAGCCCTGTCAGGAATGACAGGCGGTCTGACGCTGGAGGAGGAGCAGGACTGCCTAGACAAATTCTTTACCTCTCTACTAGCCCCATTTTTCTATGATTACAATGTTGTAGTCTGGAGATTCTCATGGGGTTATGTTAAAACCTGGATAAAAGTTGATGCCAAATGCCTCAACAAAACTGTCAGTCCCTGTTATGTTACTTGAACTCTCAAGCATGAAAGTCCCATCTACAGCATCTTGACAACTCAGCAGGTCTATGTGTTGGACTAATTAATGATTAATGCTAAGTATTTCTCATTGATGCATGAAGGCAGATTAGTTTTCACGGGTCATTTCAGCCAGCGGGAACAGTCCCTTGATGTGAAGTCCCAATTAAAAGTTACATAGTTTTATACCCAGGGAAAACCACCTTAGAATCTCACCAGGCATTTTTTTGTGTCAGATAAAGGAAGTACAGAAGTATGGGAGACCCAGGTGAAATTTTTGTTTTTCTTGAATTGGCACACAGCCCTGATCTGTACTTTTCCCCTTCCCAATGGGTACCACAGCCACCAAGATATGGGATCGGTTTCTGCAGCCTCTTGGACCCAATTCATCAATCTATTCCAAGCAGTGTATCTCTAACAGAAATAGATATCCCATCTCAGAACAGCTAATTCAGTCATGATTTAAGCACATATTGAGAATATGTGAGACATATTCAAACAGACAAAAGATCTCAGTCAAATGCAAAAAACCAACAAATACTGAAACTTTTTCTGTTTTATGAGAGTGATCTTGTTTTCCTTTCAGATTTCTCTCTCTACATTTCAAGTATTACCAATGATGGATACCTGTTATTGGAAAATCTTTCAACATTGAATACTGGAAAGTTTAATTCACCTGTGGAGGGAGAAAAAGGCAGAAAGTTCTGGGGTAATGGGACGGTTGGGAAATGCAGGAGAGGAGAAAAATAGTACAGCTAAGAATAAGATTATCAAGTCTGAAAAATACCCAAGGCTTAAGGAGACGGGAAGGGTAGGAAAAAGGGGAGAATAAAATTTAAGAGGTGCAGGTACAGGATTCAGCGTGCCTATTTCAAAGAGTCTAAACTATTTCAAATGTAGGAGCCTTTTGAAGCATCCCTCTTACATGATTCAAAGTTTCCTGTACAATCGATGGGGAGAGGTAGGTGCCTTAAGAATAAAGAAAGACCTCCAAGAGGAATGTCGTGCTCCCTAAGTAGGGCAATCAGCATCTCCCTCTGGAAGCAAAGACGCCTGGCTCTTTCCTTTAATAAAGAGATGTTGTTCACTTATCTGGATAATTTTGTTCTGTGAGTTCCTAACACAAAGTTAAGGTTAGGCACGCTGGCTCCTACACAAGGTCACAACACAATGAAGAAATAACAAGAGGAGAACTCAGAAACAAGATTTACAGTCTCCATTATAGAAGGTCTAAGGGCCTCTGATAGAAATCAGGGTTTCATAGCCCTGTGGTGCACTGATCCTCTCTCTGAATGTTTATAATTATCTAAATTGAAAGATAGACAATTGGTAGTCGAAAAGGAGCCCCCGTTACCACCTCTTCGGATTTCAGCTTGGTGTCAGAGGTTGGTTTCATAGACAACACAAGTGGTTTAGATCTGTATTCACCACACCAAGTCAAAGCCATGTGCAGATGATCATTATCGTAAGATCCTTTGCACATTGTAACTGAACAGATGCTGAGTTGGATTTCAACATGGGGCCAAATCTGTAATTGGTACAGGAATTCCAAATCTGGCAACCAACACCAGAATTCAGACTCAGGCTTATGGTTTTTATTTAAATCATGGAGATAAAGCCAAACAATTTGAAGCTGTTTCCACTAGACGTAATGACTATTGGTAGTGGGAGGAAGAGTATTAGTGCTAGAATGGTTGAGCATAAGGAGATGGCTGGGTTAACGGCCAGTTTGAACTGTGCAATATTCGGTAACCACAGCATCTAGTTACATTTTAAAGGCTGATAAGCGGTTATTTGCAATTGTTCACTGGAAAATCTCTGACTTGGGAACATTTGATAAGACTGCTCCGTGTGTAGTATCACACCACTCTGTGTTTTCCTACTTCTTAATTTTATGTCAATACTGCGAAAAGATTTAAAGCTCCTGTACCAGTGGCCTCCCTTTACTGGTGACTTCAGGCTTCGCATGAACCATTACCACTAAGGAGAAAGTTTTAGGAATGCAGAACAGAAAAATCAAAGTTTCATGATTGACTCAGTCCACAAAAATCATCTGCATTTTGTTACTGACTCAGAGACCCCCAGTCTCATTCTAAATCTTACCTGAAAACATACCTTTTTTTTTTTAAATTTAGTCTATCATCTTTTTTTCATACTCTCTCTGGTCGTTTAACATTGTAACGGCACTGTAAAGTTCTTTGGGCTATGATTTCATAAGGTATTGAACAACATTTTACTCTTTTAGCAGAGCATACAACTTCTTTAAAAGACCAGAAGTAACAGAAAAGTGCAAGCACTATTTAACAGTGAGTCACAGCTCCCATCGATGCAATGCAAATGGCAATGGTACACCCTAACTGATGACTTTGTGCAGACACTCACAGAATATGTATGGAAAAAATTACCATCTGGAGATAAGGTCAAAAGTAAATGAGCCATTTCAGAAGGCAAGGAAAGAATGTCCCAAACAAGGACAAACGCTGCAGTTTGTTAGTGGTTTAATGTCATGTTGTAACAAGAACTAAAACTTACACTGTTTTTGTGTAGAAGAAAATATATGTGGATTATATCATTGTAGGCAGCAGAGTTTCCAGAGTAGGCTCAGGGTCAAGTGTGAATTGAGTTATTATTTTAGAAATTTGAAGAGCTAAGTGTATCTCCCACCCCTCCACCTACCCCCATCAATACAGTTTTAACACATTTTATTTACATTCCCATTTTTTCCCCATGACTCCCATTCCCCAGCTTAGTCATCCTGACATTTCACGCTATGGGGGGGTTAGCTAAGATTCCATACCCAGGAAGCGTTTGGCATGTGCATAGCAAAACGTATCAGCCTATTACACAAAAGCACAGAAACTCACATATCTGAAGTTAGAAAGATGCACTAGTGCTTTGCCAGGCAAGGCTATTGCTGACCTTTCTGTTTTAGTAAACCTTGTACAAGTAGGCGCTTTTTTTTTCTATGAAATTGCCTTAATTTTTAAAATATGGAATAATACAAACCAAAAAAAGGCTTTCTTTCCCACCAACCTGTATCTGAAGTACCACCAGATGTGCATCCAGGGCGTTCTTCACTGGGAGTGCTTTGAGCCACAGTTTAATCTGTCTCTTCTTCTCAGCTACCTTCAGCTTCAGAAATCTGACCTTTTCATCCATAACTTGCATCTCAATATCTCCATTTCTACACAACATCTCTTGCATGTTTATTTTTTCATATAAAATGCATAGTTCTTCTTCTCGATTTCTGAGCAGAAGACCACTGCAATAAGCCCAAAATTAAAAGGTAATATTTTAAACAATTTGACTCATATTCAGTGTATTCCATTCAAGAATATAATTGGCAACCTTGAGAGAGAGTAATAATCTGGGAAAATGTACCAAGGTTTCACAAATATTATTTTAATAGCATGACAACATTTTAAATAGGTAATTAAATAATCACAACATGAAAATCAGAGACAAACAATTGCAAAGGTTGATCTAGGCTCTCATATAATTTTAAAAGCTGTTCTGGCCTCCCACAGCATTAATTTAAAAATAAATTAATATGATCAGGGAGATTTACAGCTTCTGCATTTTTATGCACACATAAAAATGTTTTCTGCACACATGCAAATATTTTCTGTGCACAAAGCAGAAACAGAGCAGGAGGCTGCAAGCGCTCAAGGCCTTCAGTAGCCAATCCACCATATTTTGTAATGATAGCTCTGAAGCATGAACATCTTCACCAATGGAGAAAAAACTTCTGTGTAATGCAAAGCAGCCCCGGCATTGCGGTGAGGCAGCCTGTTAAGTGAAACGGAGCGAAGCAGTCTTTTAGTATTCCTAATTTGGAGTGCTCATAAGTTGAAGAAGATTGTTGATTCATGAATGTCAAAACGAAACACTATGTTACATCAAATTTACACGTATACCTCTCATTTTGTTGCTGAAGAGCCCTTTCATATTTTTTGTGTAGCTGCACCACTTCCTCCTCAATGCGGGCGACCGTGTTGGTAAGCCTCTCAAGACTCAGGCACTGTTGCTGTTTCTTTTCTTTCATCTCATGCACGATTTGCACCATTTTGCAATAATCACTTTTCAGACTCTCTGTAATTGCTACATTATTTGCATTCTTCAGATGTTGTCTCTGCAATTTTCTTTAACATAACAGAAAAGCAGGGGAGTTTTTAGTCCTTGCAATTTGAAAACAATTTCAGCAACTAAAAGCAAAGCTTAAACTAATTCCTCAAATACACAACGGCTCTTCTATGTCACTCTGCTTCACAGAAGCATTACAAGAAGTAGAAATTGTCTCTGAGAACAGCTTCTCTCCGCAAGCTCTTTCCAGCTTGAAGAGAGCTGGATTATGGCCCAAAAAATGCTATAAGTGGAGCACTGCACTACAGCTCTTTTCTTCTCCACTGGGTAACCCGAGGGGACATAAGAAACAAAGTTCAAGTGCAGAAGCATAACTGTAATGCAAAATCTTAATGCGTAGAAATCCTGCCCTTCTATTTAAAGAGTGATATTTAAATAATTTTGTGGTTGCAGTTCAACAGTCTCCAAGTTTATTGTTTATAAACCATGTGTCATAACATTCAAAGAAGAAAGAAAATTACCAGTTTCCCTGTTTGACAGATGAGAAAAAAATCATAATGAAAGGTTAGTGACAAGATTGCAGTATAGACCCATGAAAATGAAGAAGAGAACTCATTCCAGCAGCCTTGCTGGCCACTAGATGATGGTTCCTCACTTAAAGTACCAACTCATGTTGCTGCACAGATCATGCATTTGCTCACGACATGGAACTTAGAGCTGCAGCATGTTATTGCGGTACCTATCACTTCGGATCAGGTATCACTATTTTATCTACACTGGGGAGATATTCACGTGAACATACAAAAGAGGTAGTGAAAGGGGAAGCATATTCTCCTGTTAAAATACAGAACTGCAGATGAAATGTCCTGCCGCCTGTCGTGGGCTCCATCACTGCACTCTGTACAAAGCAGTGAGCTGCTTTCTGGTTCGCTTCCCCCATGGGTGTAACACCTTCCAGTTCCACAGGGCATTACTGAATCGAATTAAACTTCTGTAAAGCAAGTTTCAGACGGAAAGCATGACAGTATTGCAGAAATGCAATGTGTTATTAAACATTTTCTGAAAAACTTTTGGCTTATTTGGACTGATACTCTGTCTGTCCTCCAAAGTGTTGCAGTTGTCAGTGATACTATGATACTAAAGTCTATTACTGGGATTAAAAATATTTTCCATAAGCAAGAGAATTACTGATAATTCAGTACCTCTTGCTAGTTCTAAATCTAGGTTTGCAGAGATCAAAATGCCTGTGGGATCTTTACTGGAGTAGGGTCATCTACAACATCGGCTATTCTGCTATCTAGGCTATATATAACTGTCAGCCTTTTTTCCCCCCTCCTTTAACCAGTAATTAATAGGAAAGGCCTCAGAAATTTTAGCACAAAATGTCAGCCTGTGCATCATGATAAAATCACTTAAATCACTGAAGTTCTACTTCTTTTCTAGCTAACTCCAGCATGACTTTGAAATCAAGCTACTCGTAGATTCACAATATACTTTGAGTGAATGTATCCTGAATGCATTCTTTGGCCTGGTTGTGCAATTATTTTGGCACTGAAAACAAAAGGTTTGGGAAAATCAAATTATTTTTAAACTACTCAGTTTTGGCTGTGCTGTTTTGTATACACAGTTAACTAGTGGCTAGCTTCCTACTTTCCCAGCTGCCGACTTCAGAGATGTTGTTCTGTCTATATCGCAGAATAGTATCATTAGGATGACAAAAAGATGGCAAAAAACCATCTCCACTAAATAAAGATCTAGGAAAAAATAGTCACATGCACCCACTGTCTGCCTCATCCTCTGTGTTGTGACTGTAACCTTGCATTTTGACTGGGATTGCCTGGAAATTGAAACCATGTTTTGTCTGATCTGAAATAAAAGTTATCCAATAAAATGCAATTTGAGTTTGAACCAAGAAACCCAGTTTGTTCTAATCTAATAATTAGACAGCCACATTACTAGCTAGTGACTCATTTAATGGGCCCATGCACCAGTCTTTTGTGGAATCGCATATCTATTGGACCTCTTTCTGTCTAAGGATAAGCAAGCGTGAGTACCACAGTGGTGTTCATCTTGAATGAGATAGTATGATAACGCAGATAGTAGCGGCTCAAGAACTGTGATACAAAGGAAACGCAATGACAATTTATCCCCTTCAAGGTCAGGGAAGTGAGAGAGTAGCCAGACAAACATCAAAAATGCTTCGTGTCACGCAGTGATGCTCAAGCTAATTGTGTTAGGGTGAAAAGAAATAGGAATAGATTATGTAAGGGTGTTGCTAAATGTCTTTGAATCAGGTTTTAAAATCAGGATAATAACAATCAAGGATGTTATAGGTATAGCTGAAGTAGGACTAGATTATCTCTTAAGATTCTTTCTAATCTTACATTTCTATACTTGTGATCTACAGCTTACTCAAAACTTACCTTTCCTTGGTTATAACAGTATTCCTTAAATTTTCTCTTTCGTTTCCTAGCAATTTTACCCGGTTTTTAATTTCACTTGCTTTCTGCTGAGCAGCATGCACCAAATTTATACATTTATTCCTTTCAATTTGGATAACATCATACAGTTTACCAAATCCTTGGAGTCTGAAGATATGACAAGTGTGAAAGAAATAATTGTTATAATTTTATGCATACATTACTGGGATAAAAATTGCTTTACAGGACATTTTTTAGCTACTGTATTGTTATTATTTTCTTACTGTTTTTGGATTTCTCTCTTCCTCTTCTTATACACTCTTATTTCAAGATCCTTTCTTTTTATTTCTTTAGTAATATTTTGGAGTTGTATCTGAAATTCAGATAGAATTCAGTGAGCACTTTAGATACATCAAAGAAATATCTTCAAAGAAATGACTCAGAACAGCTATTCCTCTTAGACAAGGAAATCACAGTGAGGCAAGATTATTCTAAGAACTTATTACAATGAGATGCTTTTACCATAACAATATTAAAGAACACGGTCTTTCTATGTATATGAAGCTTACAACAACTGTTACTAATGTAGATAATTTGATACTGCATCTTAAAATGTTTGGTCCTTTGTAGCTGGAGTTCTGCTGTTTCTATTAATCAGCCTCTTGGTTCCATCACTATATAATTATGTGGAGTATGCACCATTGAAATTGTACCTTTTTAAATAAAATCTCTCTTTTTACTCTCTTCTGCCTTTTAAGCAATCACTGATTCTTGAGTAGAATGGTACACTTACATTTTATTACAGCTCTGGACCTTTTAATTTCAGTTGTGTTGAGTCTTTAACAGCCTGTGTCATTCACCTTCGATGGACAGGCCTTCTCTCACCTCCCTCTGGCATCAGGAGGAGGACATTGGTATTAAAAAAGCTGGTGGAGGTTTGGTTCCCACTCTGGGCATGTGTGTGTGTTCATTACCTAGTACTGTTTATTTTTTTCTTCTGTTTATGGACTGATTTTTATTGAAGGTGCAAAGCCTGACATGTTTGTTTACTCTGTTTTTATAGACGGTCAAAGATTCCCAAAGCGCTAGAAGGGTAGCTTATACAATTTGTTTAAATACAGACACACACTGTGGGAGCAGAAATAGTTCGTTCCCACATACAAACCCAGTAGTTAGTATAAACTGTGCAACTTCACAGCACATGTATGATATTACGATGCCAGCAAACTGCAGGCAGCAAACCCAAGGAATAGGCCTAGTTTCTGTGACTGTAGGAAAAGTTTTCTTTCTGTCTTTCTTCACATTAATATAACAATTTACACCTAGAAATGTGTCAGGAAAATAAAAATTGCTGCCTCTACTTGGAATGAGTAGCAGTTCTGTTTATCTTTTAATGCCCATGTATTTGTAAAATAAACAACATAGTTGTACTTTCAAGAATCTCAGTTGAGGCTATCTGCTTTTCTGCCTCTTTACTCCACAGGCTTGAAAGAAAATGTCCTCTCAAATACCTTGTTTCAATTGTGGCATGATATTTTAATATGCTATTGCACTGCACCATAAATTGCCAATAAAACAACACAGTATTGTGAGCTTCCTGTGCTGTGAAGCAACTTCAAAGTAAAGCGGGATATGAGAGTTCATAAGGCTCTCCGCACTAGTAATTTAATTTCTCCATACACCAGCTTTAACTTTAGAAGAGTCTTCCAGTTATGAGATAATTTTTTACCTGGGCTTTCTGAACATCCCTAGATTTCTGTTCCCTCTCTTCAACTTTGAGCCAAGTCAGATGTGCAAGTCTGGATAACTCATCTCTGCATTTTTCCTGCTGTTTGAAAAGCCGGCCTTCTTCAGCAATACATTCTTCTAACATGTGGGCATCCATATCTGACACCATTTCCTAAAGAAAATTAAATTCAATTCCTTATGCATTGACACAGCAGTGTTGGCAAACCTAAAGCTGGAAATACTTTGGGTTTATCTACAAAGTGCACATACAGACTATGTGGATTTTTTTTAATTGCTTTAAAAAAACAGCTGAAACACCATGCACGATCTCTATGATAACATGTCAAAATATTTTATCTCCTAGAAGCATTTCAGTTCCTCAGTCTAGCATGTCTTTCAGCTATTGCTCACTGGCCAGAATGGTTTATATGGCCATATAATCTTTACATACCTTTACTGTCGGGTCTTGACAAGTCCATAGTACACAATGGAAGGCACCAAGCTTTCACATTAAGAGACCAAATTTAGACATTTAAAACAGAGCAAAGTATCTAGATGCCTCGAGTTGTTGGAGATTCAGTCAATAGTGTAAGAGCTATTTGCTCTACCCAGTGCAGGCCAACCTCTTTTGGAGGAGGTGAGTGTGTGGCTTCCTAGGCTGCACTGACTACAGGACTAGATTGTTATTGACCATCGTGGCACATTAGATACGTGTCCCATACACAAATAGTGACATGTAGATACTGAATGCATACGTATTCAAACACAGGCTGAATCCCACCAGGGAATGCTAACAAATTCAAAGACAGCACAAAACCAAAAAGGATATAAGGGTAAGAAGAAAGGTGGTATGATCTTAAGAAGAAGGTGTGTCTGAAATATATTGCTTCTTATAAAGTCATTTATATAGTGGCAAGTACTAATACTCTCATAATTGAGACATCTGCATTTCCACACTATATATGGCTGTGCTGAGCATAGATGGACATCTACAAATGACAAAACCGTGAAGATGAAAAATTATAATGTACAAATGCTGAATTGTCCTTGTTTCAACAAGACAGTGTGCCATATCCAAAGAGAATTTATACCCATTATATTTCTAGCTGTAATGCAGTTAATGATATTCAGAAAGACTTAACCTGGAAAGTAGACTTGCTTTCTGCCTTCCAATATGTGGCTAGTATGATTGAACAATGTTTTTTAAATACGACAAACAAGTGGTCCTTAACATTGAAAAAATACTATCGCATGTTTTCTCACCAGAAAGCTGCAACTAGAAACTCCCATCATTTTTTCTTCAAACAGTCCCTTTAGTCTCATGATTGAAAACCAACTGATACAGTGAAAAAGTATGAGAAAGCAGAACTGAGCACCTGTTCAGCTAAACGTCTCTTGGTCATTTCAATTTCCTTCTGCAGGACTCCTCGTCTTTCTAATAGTACTCCGTTACTTTTAGGGACGGCTTCTGCCTACAAAAATAAACCAAGCACACTGAGTCATGCAAACAAAAGATGTGAAAAATGTAAACTGCAGATAATCTATTTGAAGCAGTTACACACATTAAGAAACCAATTTTCAGTCTTGTTACAATAGCTAGTCCAAGAGTTCTTCATTGAGTGGAGTTTCTTAGCAACATATCCAAGTTTCTCTATTTTTTCTTTTAAGAATTTAAGTATGAACACTAAACTTCACAAAGCCCAGTTTAAGTACTGAATTTATAAGGGTTATGTTTTTCAGCAACTAAACCATCATTAAAAAAAAAAAATCACAGAGTGACTACGCAAAGATGTCATCTTCTAAATTCACAGATTTTCTGAGTGAAATTCTGACCTTAGTGAAGGAAAAAATAGATTTACCACCGATTTTTATAGGGTTAATATTTCACATCTGTGTAGACTTGATATCATAGTTTTTGCTTTTAGTTATTCAAGTAAGATTTTTCCTCCTTAGGCTCTAGAAAGTCTAAACTAACACCACAAACAGCTATGTATTATTTTTTCTTGTACTTATGGGAAAATTTGTTTATTCAGTCAGACTTTAAAATGAAGTATGTGAAGGAAGACACATTAGAAACTACTTTCTGATTAAAATATATGTGAAAAATCCCACTACAACTACTTGCGTGATATAACTCACAAGGCAAAAGGTTGTATTGGCCTCACAGTGACTAACTTAAAAATTCTTTACGGTTATAAGTAAGAAATAAAAAATTACTCTGAACGACACATCTGGAAGCTATTCAAAGATAATACACACAACCCCGTGGTATCTTTCTTAGATCTCAGCCAGATGTTAGATTTCAAAACGCTACACCTCAGTATGGACAATGAGAGGGTTTGCACTTATTGTTTTTACTTCTGTGATAATATAAAATAAATGTTGTTTACTTGCTTTAAGGGGAAGGGAAACAAGAAGCACGGTAGAGGTGAACCTTTGGAGTTACTTTGGTGTCAGCTCCCAACTCTGAGACAGATTTGGTCTGACTTAGGTTGGCTAAAAGGTCAATAAAACCTATTCTAAGCAAGTAGAAGGAGCAAACACGGCCTTTCTGTGGAGCGTACATTAGTTATCGCTTCTGCTGTGTAAAAGGCTGTAGTGGCTCTAAGTAGGCATTTCTACATTTTCAAGATGGGATTCTAAAGATGCCATCAAGTTCTTGAGTCTAAAAGCAGAAAGCTCACATAAACATCTTTAATCCATTAAGGACTTTTGTTCACATAAGACATGACTAAACTTAGGCACTTTTGGCTCTCTCTGCATTGGCCTGACCGAAGAGAAGGCGTGCATGGAGAAGAACAACGGTTCTGCTCTGGGCTGGCGCTAGCTGGAGCAGCCAATTCTCTTTCACACAGAATGTTGGCGTTTAGCAATAGCTGACCTTTCACTGCTTACTAAGAAGAAAAACACATTTGAAGGAAGTGTTCCTGCAATTTCCCTGTTCTACAAACTAGTCATTCTGCGCTTAGCACGTGATTTAAAGTAAGAGAAATTTGGGGAAGCATACTGATGTACTGCTGCTTCTGCATTCACGTTTTTGTAGAAGCAATTAATTCTTGTGATTTTTTTCACTTGGAATCACACTGAATAAATATAAATCTGGCTTTTTAAGTAGTTAAAGGAACTTTAACTGCTCACAATTTTTTAACTTTTCCTAGGTGTGCTCCTAAGTCGTCCAAATTAAAATAGTCTCAAGATAGCAAAAGCTAAGCGGAATCAAACTTGCCACTCTAGTCTTTCGTACTCGAGTACTGCATTTGAACTGACCATGCTGCAGAGGAGCAGTGATTTCACATTTGCTCTTCTAAAAGAGCCAAGAAAGGAATCAGAGAAAATACAGAGCACGGGAGGATGGGCTAAAACAACTATATTGCCATGGCCTGTTTGTGTTAGGGTAGCATCCTGCAACTTCTGGAGTAAAATACTGCACAGAATTTCACTTCTATCTTTGCTGGCATTCCCCTTCCTCCACTCTTCATGATGATGCTACTTGCAAGACGCATACAAGCCTATAGGATAACTTAGCGTTAGCACTGAGGGAATCTTCTGCAGTGCAACTTAACCTTTAAGGGCCTCATTACAGGTCCCTTGCCCTTTCACACGGTGTAAAGGGGTTGGATGGGGTTGGGTTGGGTTTGGATCTCACCCAAGACAGTGAACTTTAACCATAGCTGTTGGTGAGTTACGGTATTTGATTTTAGAATTTTACAGTTTTGAAATATTGTGATTCGCCCATCAGAAATATTTCTTCAATAGGAACACAGGAAAAAAAACCCAACTGTTTCCCAGATTCTCTTAGCTGATACAGAACAGAAAGTCAGTATGAGCTTTAAGATCAAAGTCTGGAATATGAGTCAGTCCTTTCATCAGTATTTCAGGAAATTCAATCTAAAACTTTTTTTTGTGTAGTATAGAGCTTTGCCCCCTCCTCCCAAGTGGGCTTATATTACTAGGTAATTAATACACATGTGAATTCAGGAGGAATTTCAGGCGAGACAGAAAAAAATTCTGCTACTTAATAATATTAAATATTATTGAGTAATGTTTACAGTTGTTTAAATATTAAAGTCAAGTATGTGTGTGTTTTGATATCATATAGTTATTTTTAAAAACTTTACAATAATGTAAATAAGTCTGCTTTTCTGCCCTGAATTGCGTAGAAGGACCAAGAAAAATGTCAATGACACTGTGTATCTAGGTAGGAAATATCAAGTCCTTATGCTTCTAACTCAGATAATGGATATTCTCCTGTACAAAAATATTCACCTGACTAAGCAAGATTAATTTTATAAGACTGACATACAATTTAGAATAAGCAAGGAGCTAGTATAGAAGGAAAGCTTAAGAAAGAGAATGGAAGAACCAGTGATGGGATGAAGACAATAAAAAAACTTATAGACAAAGTGAATTGTTAAGAAATATTTGGAAGAAGAAAGGAAATGTTTTGAATAGACAAGCAGAATGAGACTGCCCTTTAAAATCAGCATAGTAGAAGGCACAAATAAAACAGAAAAGAGTAAATCAGTATGGAAAGAGGAATGAGTGAAATACTACTGCAGGGAGGAAATGAGGAAGGTGAAAATTGAGTGGAAAGGAAGAGAACATAGGGAATCATGTCATATCATTTAATACCAAACTTTATATAGTGTTAGTTTCCTGTCCCCTGAAATAATGTTAAATACATTATAAATTGTTTACAGTAATGTACAAACAACCTCAAAATTTTAAAAAGATGTCGCTTCTCACCATCTGGGAATCAGGCAGTACATGGCTCCATTTGCCTGCTACATTTTTCTTTGATGCCAATGGGCAAGTCACTGTATTATTTAATTCATAAAATGACCATAATCCCACAGTACTTTAAAGGAAGACATCACGCCACGGTGTCAATATAATCTCCCAGTTCTCCTTGATAGGATGATCCCACCCTAAAATCCATTTCTTAAGAATAACCCAAGTATTTTTATTACAGCCAGAGCACCTAGAGGTGTCTTTGTTAGTTGGAGTGCTGCTGACGCTTTTCTCCCCTTCCCTCTTTTAGAACCAGTCAAAAGATTTCATAGACAGATCTCTTACAAGAAAATTTAGAATCCTTATGATCAATATATTCATACAGACCTCTAATTTGAGTCTGTTATGCTTTGACTTATCTTGTTCCAAGGAATCATAAATCATCTTCAGTTGTAACTCCATCTTTTTTAAATTTCTCAGTGCTCTGTCTTTCTGTGTTTGCTGATGAATGAGAATATCATGTTGCTTTTTTTTCTCCAAGACACTTTTATTTAAATTATCTTCCAGAGCTTCTCTATATAGACAGACACAGAATTTTAGAATCAGGTAATTTGACCAAGACGTGTATGCAGATATGATCATTTTAACAGATTGTGAGTACTGCGGCATTATGGCTAAGCAGCAAGAAAAACTCATCAACTCCTGACACAAATTACCTAAAAAGGTAGCATTTTATAACTTTAATCAATGATAATATTCCTAATGATGTCAATGAGGTCTCACAAGCTGTTCTAAAGATGCTAAAATTCCAGAGAAACTATTATTTATGAAAAGAAGAAAACACATTTTTTAGTATGAGGGAATATTTACATGTTTGCTTCACTCAAACATTTCAATTTAAAGTGCCACTATCCTTTAATAAAAAACTTTAAAGGCAAAAGAGTTGTTGCTGAGCGTATGGCCATGATTACAATTATACATCTTTATCTGTGAAAAAGGAATCATCTGAAGTTTTCAATCAACCTCATGTTTTGTTTTACTTTATCAAGTATATATAAACTCATAATTCAAGGCAATATTAAGGAGATGAGTAATCAGTCCCCACTGAAAGTCAGGAGTACGTGGGTGCAGAAATCTATGATCCTCATTTGAACATGAAAATACTGACTTTTTTTTTTCCTCGATGAACTTACTTTCTGTGGGTTACACAGAAAAAAAAGTCACTGGAGAGAGAAACCATCTAAAAGATTTCCCTTTCAGAGCAAAATCCAGTTTCACTCTCCCAGGCTTTTATCAAATACTTATGCTTTTTAATGTTGTTCTTCAAGGCAGATCCTAGATCCCAGTAGTTCACATAACCAATTCTGAAGTCAAAACCAAGCCTGGTAATTTCTAGTCATCACTGGTTGCAGCATAAAACTTGAAAACATAAACACTACAGCAGAAGAAAGAAACAGATCTTTGAGAACACAATTGTTCGCTCATACTACATGGCTTATATCTGCTTCTCTAACCTGTCTGATAGGACCCCCGATTCCTTCTCTCTGCTAATTTCTAGTAATTTTGTCAAATTAATGCATTCTCGTTCTTTGCTTTCTAGCAGAATTTGTTTCCCCTCCAATTCCTTCATTACATCTTCTCTTTCTTGCAAAATCTCTTCAGTCCTTTTTCCAATGGCTTTCAGGGTACCATTCAACTCTTCTATTTGGTCATTAAGGGCTTCTTTCTTCTTTTCTGCATCGCTGTGGATATATTTTAACAAAACAGTAACGGTTCACATTTCCACATGCATATTTAAATGGCAAAATGTAAGTTGCCAGTTTTAATGGCCACACAGAATCATTTCAACATCACAACTATCTACCCTGTATATTTGAAAGCAAACCACATACAGTGAAAATCTTCAAATGCCAATACAGTTCAACAATAAAATTGAAGATTGCCATGGGACTAACAGGGAGCTTAGCACCGTAACAATATTAAAAAGACTTCCAGTAAATTGAATGCTGTCAAAATTACTAGGTACATGGATGTGACACTTCTAAATATTATTCCCAAGGCTGTAAAGTCTAATTAGTTCATTCTGTGATGCAACACCAGTAGAAAGGCTCATTTCCATGCTTCATTAATAACAATCTACACAATGTACTAGCTTTTGAAAATTGCCTCTCTGTAAGAATACAGGAAAAACTTCTTACAGTTGTGATAGCAGAGTTGCATTAAGCAGAGTAGTGAGGAAAACGTAGAAGACAACCATTACACAAGTTTTAAACCCGAGAAATTTAACGTAGTAAAAAAATTTCTATATTACAAATAGGGACTGCAAACAGGAGACTCAGAGACTTCAGCATAACCCTGTGCCTGAACAGGGTACAAAAGTATCATCCATCTGGAAGGCACTTGGATCTGTGAGTGGCCTGGCTGAAACTGCACAGAGCTAATTCGATTTTACACAGGCAGAAAGCAGCACATCATGCTCCAGGGGAGAAAAAACCCAACCATGCAAAACAGAGAAAGGAAAGGCTGGCTACTGGATTGCATTTTCCCGGTTGAAGTACTAGAGACCAGTACTCACATTAGGAGCTTACAGCAAAGCACCTCTTATTATAAAACTGGTACAGAAGTATGAAGGGAGAATGATTATTTAGCTCAGGCCAGACTGTCAGCTGTGAAAGCTGCTCGTTTCACTGAGGCCAATAGAGATAAACTAATACACAGTCACTGAGGACTAGCAACGGTAAAAAAGCCTAATCACTAGATTACACAGTAACATTATTGTCCATTAAAAACCTAAGTAAATCTGATATATGGTAATGCAGTGCAGTAAGATGGTTAAACAGTTTTTGACCAAGATTTGTTCTACTTTCTTCTTTGTTGTAATTAAATTTACAATATTTCACTGCATATACTATATTTTTCAGTACAGTACATGGATTTTAAGTGGATTGTAGATGCTTTTTAAATGTGGATCCTAATTTTAATCAACACCTATACTCAACTGCCTCCGTAACAAATGGATGAAAATAAGTTATACATACATATTAAAAATAATAATTTATTAAAAGCGTACATTTTTTTCCAATTCATCTTCTCAATTTCTTTTCCAAGTTGTGCTGGAACAGCAAGGATCTTAACTAGCTCATCCTAGTGACAAAACAGAAAGTTTAGATTAATAGCCTCAAAATCTGGTGAGATATCATAGAAATAATATTCACCCAGAACTGCTGTGAAAATGGGCAGGAAACATGTTTTTGGATTACTTGAGCTTGTCCCAGGGAACTGTAGCTGCTACTTTTGACACAAAACATTGATATTTACCATTTCATTATGTCTGCAAGATGAAAATTATGTTTGAATATTATTAATACATCTGATTATGTTACCTATATCATGGAAAGGAAAGCAGCAAAGACCTGGGTATGTTTTTTAATTCTCAGCATAAATCTGTATTAACTTGGATCTGAGCTTATGTTAGAGCAGCCTACAATAACACAACATAGCAAACATGTCGTTATAGAAACTATTTTTTAATCAAAAGCATGACTATTATTATTTCCTAAAGGAGTAATAATGGATATGGCACACCATCATGTTTTACGCCTATTGAAAAATTATGTAATATATAAAGTAATGCCATCTGATGAATTTGGAATAACAAACAACATCCAGAATATTCACTGTTTCCTTGGATAAAGCATGTACCCATATACACATACATTCACACACACAGAGATATACACACACACAATTAATTTTGTGTTACTTTTAAATTAGCCTGCTTCTCCAGAAGTTTTTCCATCTCCTTCTTATCTATTAACTCCAGCTTTTGCTTGGATGAAACATCTTCCTTTATTGCATTAATTTCTGCTTTCCTTTGGATTACTTCTTTGCAGAGCTCATCACAATTTTCTTTCAACTGCTTAATTTTCTTATCTGCTTCCTTTAAAAATGAAGTAAAAGATCAGATTGATTTTATTTTCCCTTTTACATTTTGCAAGCTTGTAGATACTACAGCATCATTAACACTGAATGATGATGACATTTTTTACAACAAGGTATGAAATACAGTTTTTTTTACCAGCTGTATGTTTCTTCTGTCAGTAACCAGCAAAATTTATTTCCAACAAAACCACATATATTCATCAGGATTTATGACTGCAGATGTATTTTCCATACTCACATTCTAGAACCAAAAACCTGCAGCTATCTTTACATGCAGAATCTATTTGCAGTAAAAAAATTTTGAGTAAACTCAAGAAAATCCAGATCTTTTCCGAATCAGTTACTCATTGTTTGCCCTAGAGTTATCAATCCTGAATAATATTATATAGCTTCTCCTACAAAATCTACCTATCAATTTTTCTATGTATTCCAGATTTTAAATAAACTCCATAGAGCTACACACTGTGAAAACATTTTCATTGATTTTTTTTATGTTAGCTGACAGAATATAAAACATGGCCATAAACCCTGGGTTTTCTCATGTTTCACACTTACCTTTTGTTTTGGGATTCTTTCATATTCTTTTTCCAGAAGCCTTTTTTCTTCTTGCAAACTAGAGAAAAATCAAAACAGAGGTAAATTTATTAGTAATTTAATAAATATTACTATAATATAGTAAATGGTTAAAAAAAGTATGGAAGCCTATCTTGTGTTACACTAAAATGTAGGGTGAATTATCATCAGGGACAATTGAAAGGTGTCCAGATTTAAAGGAAGGTTGCTGACTGGTAAGTGGAAGTCCTGAAAGAGAGGTTGTACATATGCAGTTTTTTTTCTACAGTGCACACATCTAAACTTTTGAACCTGATTCTTCTCAGTCTTACCACCTCCTGCAGGGATGCAGGGATGCCTCATTTACCCTTGTCTTCATACTAGCAGAGTCTAACAGGTTAGATGGCACCGTACACCCACAGTTCCTCCCAACCTCAGAAAACAAAATTTTAACATGGAACTGAGGCAAAAGGAAAGAGGAGGTTGGTTATAAATTTCCACAGAGACATCACACATCAAAGAAAGTGCAGCTGCTAGTGAGAAGCTTTCTTCTTCCTTTGAGCGATTGCTCACACACACATTCACACTGTAAACAACTGTAAGTGAAGCTCCTCAAATCTGAACAGGCTCCTGTGAAAAAAAGGTTCTGAAAAGAGACAGGAGATGTACACTGAGTCAATGGGGTACAGTAGAAAACTAAATCAAATAGCCATGGTGATCTTAACCTATATCCAAAACTATGCTGCAATTTAATTTCAGGCAACAATAGACAAATGCCAAAGGAGGGAAGAAGGAGGAAAGGAAAAAACAGGAAAGCTCTTAGACCTTCTGGCTGTGTCTTTAGTAATGCTGCTCTAAGAAAGATGGAGTGACTACAAAAGTGAAGCTCAAAAATGAGCCCTAGTGAGGTAATACGTCAATACATTCCCAGCTCATGCACAGAACAGTTCTGCACCTACAGGAGGTAAACGGGCTACAGCAGTCTGCATGCTGCCACAACCAAAATGAACTTAATTAAGTCCTTGTAGTATTGATTGGGAACAAGGAGGCAGGTTCTTGCAATGTAATTAGTACCTGTGATGACATTCTGAGTTGCAGGCAATAAAGGAGCAAAGATTGCAGCTGGGGAATAGGTAGAACAGCCAAATCCTCTGTCCCGTCTATAGCAAAGAATCAACTTCAGCACTCAAATTTGTGTTTGTAACTCCAGCTGAGGATGTGCTGGTCAGGCTTCCCTGGGACTCAGGGCAGTCTGTTAGAATAAATAACCCTTTAACTAAGGGGAGTATGAACAGAAGGGGACAGGCTTTCATGAAAACAGTTGTGTCACTTAGAGTGTAAACTATGGCAAGGGAGTCCTGGGGCAGCCCCACCTACCCAAGGCAACTACTACAGTTGTCTCTGAATGTGGTTGATGCAGAAGAGAGGCAGCTGATTGGTATTTCTTTTTTTCTCTGAAACCTTTCAGCAGTAGCCTAAGACTTTGCATGGTGGTGGTTCAGGTTTCAGAAGGTGGTGGTCATGGGGAGAGAGATCAGTCTCCTAGCAGCCAGCCTCATGGAGGATCCTCCCTAGAATCTTGTGCTCAATTCTTTATCAGTGCTGATCTAATGTTCCTCCCCCTCCAATAAATTGTTTCTTGTCTTTTGGTCCTCCAATGAGAAGAGCAAAGCTTATATCTGGAAGCCTCAGGCAACATCTTTCTAGTCAAGGAAAGAAAACAGTCAAAAAAGAGAACTGGGTTGGTGATGTTGCAATCAAAAAAAAAAACAAAAAACAAACCAACAAACCAACAAAACCCCACGAAGAGCAAGCTCTGGCTCAGATGAACAGCAAAGAGAAAATAAAGGCGCAGGGTAGATGTATATTTGTATGGGCAGGCTACAAGTATGCCTCCATGGGGACTGATAAGTCTAAAAACTAATTTGAATGCCAGTGTTTGAACACCCACAAAGTGAAGAAGCATACAAAAAATCTTTCAAAGAAAAAAAGCTGAATTTAGATCAGTTTTCCTCAAAAACTGATAAAATGAATTATATAAAAAATTCTATTGCAATATCTATTATAACTTCAGGAATTGCACAGAGGAGTGAAGACACAGGAGTACTTTGCAGGAGTACAGTACAAATACATCTGAGTAGAAGGAAACACCATCAGGTGATTTCTTCTGTGCCACAATGGGGCTGAGGAACTACCCCTTTTATGTTCCACTGTTTAAAGTCAACGAGGGATCAAACTGAGCTACTTCAATTCTGTGATACCAGCTTTGGTCTGCCCCTGTGTACTGTGCCCATAAGCCACAACTGAGTCCTAATATATTGTGTTGGAAAGACATGCGAGTCAAACAAAATATTTTCACTTACCAACAGGTTGTCTAAATGTATAAATAAGTTAATAACAACAATTCATATTCCCAACACATTTTGGCAGGATTCCTATTTGGAATCCTTGGGACTGGCATAATCCTGCTAATTACAATGAATGTCCACTCTGGACAAATACCCGGAATTGTTTGACTGGCACAAAAACAGATTAAATAAATCCTGTGCAAACATTAAAGAGGTACTACATTGGTCGCCATCAGTCTGTGCTGTGGCCTCTTTAATATCATGCCAGACGATCAAAAGAGCAATCCCAAAAATCAGGAGGGAGAGCAAAGTTGACACTGGGGTTTTTTTGTCACATTCCTCACTCATGAGGACAGATTCCTGTGGAGCCATTCCAGTTTCACAACAAAGACTTGTAAAACAATTTGAACACCTCATTTTCTGTGACATAAACAAAGGCAACCCTGAACAGCAAGCACCAAGTTAAGTTACCTTAAGAGCTGGCAGACCAACTACTTCCATGCAAAAACCAGGGAAGGTGTAAAAAGAAAAAAATGGGGTAAAAAAAGAAGTTAAATCTCTCCCTTTTGAGCAATGAGTTTGGTCCAGCTGCCCATATTCAAAATTTAAGTACCCCCATGCTAACATCCCCAGAATTCCTTACTGTCAGGGATAAAAACAGGTACCAGGATAGGGCAGGTCATCTGACATCCCAGGTACCTATTTCAGGAAGAGATAAATTACTGGTTGAAGATAACTTATTTCTCTCCCTTGACTGTAAAGGGAGACCAGGATGATTAAATCAGATTAAGAAATCAAATAAGATTCTTCAAAGATGTTAAGTTCAGTCTCTGATTTAATAGCTATATGGACACAGAAGCATAATGTAAGGTAAGCAGACAAAATCTGGTCTTTCCGTTTAGCATTTGAATCTTGTGATCTGTGATAGATGTACATTGTTCTCATGACTGTCTATAAAATACTTAGACATCAATCACAACAACAAAATAGCCACAACTGGCGTTAGGCATTTATAATTCCCATTGGCTTACAGCCCTTCTTGGATGAGTGTATTTTTCAACACCATGCATTTTTTATTATTATCATTACTATACCTGTACAACATATATAATGAAAAGAAGATGAAACTCTTAAGTTTAAGCATTAATGTTTGCAAATGTTTCTCACATTGCTTTACTTATTTACATGAAGCTTATATAGTAGTACTGTACATGAAAGGCTATCATGGATGCAGATGTAATGAGTTAAAAAAAAAGCACTTGGAAAATTGGACCATTAATGAAAATACATTCCAGACTTTTCCCTGAGAGATGCCTACAGCTGCGAATTGACACAGAAATAAAAAAATTAAGTCAGAGAGATTAAGAAATGTAGTGGTAGTTGTCAACAGAGGTCCATTTCAGTTCACCAGCTCACAAAATAGCCAGAACTTCGTTATCATTACGAATCCCATCATGCAAGAAAGCAAACTCCTTCAGGTACTCTGACACATAGCTGGGATTGCTGAGGAATCCGTGGAAGGTGTTCAGCACCTCATAGCTAAAATCTAGTGACCACAAGTAGAAGATATCACAGCTGACAAGCTGCCAGCATGGGATTCCTGTAAGACTCTTTGCTGTGCTTAGGTTGTATGTACTGGAGAATGCAGTCAGAAGACTAGTCCAGAACTTTGACTGTAACTCAATTTATTGTATTTATGACTTGTCATTCTTTACTAGAAAAACTATGAACAAAAGCTTAACATTTCACTTTTTAATTATCAAGTGACTAATCCTGAAATAATTACAAGCACTGAAATATTTTTCCATATTTGCAATGCTTCTACAAGGACAGACTCAGTTTTGCAATCCTGACTTGCAGGCAATAGCATGCAGTACTTCAGTGAATACCCATTTTGCTACCTGCACAAATGACTGTCAGGGCTGCAGATTGGACCTAGGCTTTAGAACAAAACTATTTTCAAGAATCAGGCACCTTTAATCTCACAAACTCTTGCTGTAGATAATTTAATTTCAAATTAATTGCTTACTTTTAAATATATAGTTTAGATGATAAATTAGATGATAATTTTACTATTTCTCAATAATAAACTATTGTTGATACTATTGCCTGATAAAGAAAAGCAGCTTCTCTTTATTTTCTCTCACAAACCAGGACTCTAAGCCTCACATGGACATTAAAATGAAAAGTTTCTTCAAACTAAAATAAATCCCTCCTGATCACATTGATCCTTTCCTTGCTCTTGTGCTAATCGGATTTTTTGTTCTATATTCTTATTTACTGAGACATGTTCAGTCCCAGTTTTATGAAGAAGCTTCATGGCTCTAAATGCAATTGTACCAGAACTGAATAGGGATCACTATTTTTCCTCTTTATTGCACTTGCCTAATAGTTTTGGAGAGGAAGAATGCTCCTGGAGTCAGCTCTGACTTTGGGGCAATGACCCAAATGCTAAAACCTCAGTAAAATCCTTCCAACTGTTGTTCCCCTCCTGTGCTGAGCACACAGGCAGACGCACTAGCAATGAACCCAGTACAGCCATACAGCAGAAAAGAAATACAAACCAGAAAAGGAGGGACAGACCGCCAGTGGGGGTACACCACACCCACACAACCACCCTTGGGGTGACTTGCCTGGCAGCTAAAGTGCATCAGAGCTGCTTCTGAATACCTCACGTACTTGTTCAAGCTATGAAAAAAGTCACAACATTTCTGAAAACCTGCTGATAGTACAGTGCTGAAAGCAATTTAAATTTACTCTTGGAATGTTGAATACTCATTGGAACAATGAAGAATTAAAACAGAAGATGAAATATCACCTTCAGCTGTTGAAAAAGGTATCTGGCCTGGAAAAAAAAAATTAGAGGCAAGCAACTAGGAAATGAAATATGGAAAAGAGAACACAGGATACAAGGGACCTTGAGACAAAAAATAACTTTGCTAATGTTATGGTATATCTATATGGCTTGAGGAGAAAAAGTTTACTGCTGTCAGATTTGAATCTGAGTGCAAAAAGGGTGCTAAGCGCCCTTAGCTAGCAGAGAAAGCGAACTGAGGTAGGAAGTAAAGGTAGCAGAGACTAGAGAGATGCTTCAGGGAAAGAAAGGCTTACAGAACCAGGGAAGCAGAAGATGTGCAGAGGTGCTTCTCCCTTCCAGCTCAGTAGTACTTCTGAGTAGACAAGATCCAAGACTTCTAAGAAAAGGATAAAGCAATAGAGAAGAGACACAGATATTCCCTTCAAAAGCTTTTCCCCTCTATGTTCCCACCTGCAATACATAAGAAGGTAAATAAGCAATGTTTGTTTTCAGACTAAAGAGCCATTAGTCATAATTCCCAAAGAGAATTTACTTGTAAGTGCCAAGCACAGCTGGGAATGTATTAGCACAGTTGGACAACAAGGGAAATTGTGCTCCAGAAAGATCAAGGGCCAAGAGAGGTTGGATCACAAGTTTTTATCCTTCTGAGAAATGAAGGAAACCAAGTAGTCACTTAACAGCAAACTTACAACATCTTCGATGCAGCTTCCCCTCTGTCTGTGACACCACCCATACACACAGCTATTTCAGAAGACATCGCTTTATTATTTGTATAAACCCATCAGGCATATGGATCTTCATTTTACAGCACTGTTACTATTAGATCACCTGCTACTCACAACTCTATTTTGGACATTCATTTTCAGTGCCTTCCACAGGCACCAAATCCATCCCTTCTTTACGAACACGTATTCACATCTATTATCTGTTTTTCTTCATAGCTCATTTCTCTTTTCCCCACTACACTCATCCATTCCCCACATAGACATGTATTCTGCCAGTCCTGTTCATTCTACACCACTCCAACATTAAAACCCCTCTCATTTCTGGAAAGCAGTATCTTCTCTCCCAATAAACAAACCCACACATAACCAAGGCACATCCTCCTCACTCCACACCCACAAGGCACATAAGACCCAATTCTACCACCAGGCATGAAACAGATTCGAAACAAGGAACAATTAAATAATCTGTAGCTCTTTGGTTTAGAAAGTTGAAAAAGAGGGGGGTGGGGTGGGGGGGGGTGCAGATAAAAAACAGATCTGTCAAACCATCCTGCAGCAGTGAAAATGAAGAGAGGATCAGATGTTCAGTGTCTCATCCAACACAAGAAGCACAGGGCATGGAATGATGCTGGTAGGAGTCAGGTTCAAAACAGAAAGGAGGTGGCAGTTCTTGTGTGGTTAACCTGTGGAACTCATTGCCCAGGGTGTTGCAATGCCAGAAGTTTATATAGTTGAGGAGAGGTTCAAGGCAGAGGGGTCAGCTGAGGATTCCTAAGTACAGAGGACTGGATTTGGCTCATGAAATCCCTGCATCACAAATGGCTGGGGGCTGTGCTTTTGGTCACTGTTAGATACGGTGCCATATGGACCTCTGGTCAGACCGTACAGCTGGTTTTGATCTCATGCAACACATAAGACCAAACAGAGGAAGTTTCTTATTAAAGTGAAAGAACATTTTTCACAGTATGACTGACCCCAAAAGTGTATTTTTAATCTGCAAGATCGGATATTCAATTCATAGATAAGAATTAATGCAGTAATTGTGCAAGGGTAATTGAAACAATACCTCAACTGTGTTTTGCATAGGACACAGAAATCTCCTTTTGACTAGAGGTAGAAAATAGAGTATGAGTAAACATCTTCTAAACATGTAAAACCCCATCATTTTTTGGAAAAATGATGCAAAACCAGTGAAAAATATTTGTAAGATATGAGGACAAATTGGTAAAAAGCATGATATTTTTAAGAGCTCATTTCTGGATTGCTTGGAAATTGCAATAAATCCTGTATTCAATAATTATTTCACGGAACTTCATGTTGCTTAGTTATCTCAGCAAATAATTTTTTCCAGATGCTTTCCATGTTTCTCCCACTCCCAATTTGCTTCTTTCTCTCTTAGAGCAAACATTTGGCTCTCAAAAACGAATCACGAAAGAACTGCCAGAAAAATCTGCTCTATGCAGTTTGTACAGTGCCCTTGCTCTCCTTGCAGAAAAATAGTTTTAACTGCTGAGCCGCTGATATAATTTTTTGGATTTATAGGCAGCAACTACACTACAGCTGGACTGAAGATGAGTACAAATAGCAAGCACCCCACAAAATGAAAATTCGAGTTCATTTCCATAGGTACATAGTTTTAAAAATGCAATAGTACTGGTTTTAATTTTACTATAAAAGTTTCAAGTACAACACACTCATATATGCAGATAATTAAAACATATACAATATCAAGCTTATTCTGGACCTTTTTCCTTTTATAGAAATGGCAAGTATTCACTTCTTTCACAGCAAATTTCTCATTTTTCTGACATGAGAATATACAAGTACTTCTCCTCCTTTAAATACCTGAATAGAAAAACTTGAATAAACTGTGCTTCTGGTGTTAAAAATAGCCCTGGGGCTATTTATGACATTGTTTCCATAAAATCCCAGGTCTCCGAGACACTTTAATAACTTGTATTAAAAGTGTCCTAGACTAGAATTGTTCCTGTTAATTTTGCCTACCTAAACATTAATCACACAATGTAGCAAATTTTAAACAGTGTTTCAAAGGACACCGTAGCATGTTCTAAAATTAAAATAATCTACAAATCTCACATCAGTGTAATTTTATACATCACTGAAATGTTGCTGTTACTAGGGCAAGTTTGTGGCAATCTGTTCAACAACAGCTGTAAGAAATTTGTCCCTGTGAGATGGAGAGGAGATTGAATTATATTCTATGTTATTATCTTTCTACGTAAGCTAGGATAAAAATAGCAGCGTTTGACCATTAGCACCTACCATTCCATCCTGAACTGAATTTCGTATTCTCTCTCTTTAATAGCATTGTATTCATTTTGGCAATTAAGAAGTTGTTGCCTTATTTGGGAAACTTCACTGGAGGATTCTTCAGGGAACTGTTCTGCTTTTTCCAGTTCATGTTGCTGTTGTTCCAGTTCTACACTAAGACGTTTGGCTTCCTGCAACAGCTGGATCTCAGTTTCCTGTAAACTACATTAAATAGAAAAAATTAGAACTAGGCAATGAGAAGCATGAGCTTTGTATTTATACTTCTTTACCTACTTATAATATTTAATTCAAGGTTTTCAAGATGGGATAGGATTAAGCCCTGAATAATCTGGTCTGACCTCATGGTTGACCCTGCCTTGAACAGGAGGTTGGACCAGAGACTTCCTGAGGTCTGTTCAAACTTGAATTATCCTTTGGTGCCTTGAGAGCAGTGGAATCTGAGTGAGGGGTTTTTTCTGCATACCTAGAGTTGGAGTGGGATTCACCTCACCTAATTTTAACCAGATGAAAGATAGTTAGTTTAACTTATTTGTCTAGCACCTCCTACAACCAGTGAGGAGATAGGGAATCTGTTTTATCCTAAGAAGTGCCAAAGGCTAAACCTGAATTGGCATGGGGAGCAATAACAGGGAGGTATTCACCAGGAGAAGGCCCAGTCATATAGCCCACTATACAACACCTTTAAGTTCTTAGCAAATACCAGGACCCCTACCCCGTCCTGAATTGCATGTTGCTATTGATGTAGTGTTACCAGTATGTGAAGTAAGTCATTTACTGATACACAAGCTGCAAATACATTATATTATACTTATTATAAGGTTTGTAGACATGATCAATTATCTGATCTGACTTGTATCACCGAAGTCTAGCTTCACAGAAACAACAAACTGTAATACTCTGTCAATGTTAGGAGACTGGTAGCTGTAATATACTTAGGAACCTATCTGGTGATAGCTGAATAACAGATCTTAAAGGCTGTTAGTAAAATACATTGGTTACTATGGAAAAGTCTTAAAGGGAACTACAGTACGAAAATTCATATACAATGCACAACATACAAACCTAGACTTTATGCTACAGAAATCATCGTGTATGCCTTCTCAATATTGCTACATTATAACTTTTGTATAATGGTATACTAAAATTAGTCACGAATTACGTGGAAGAATAAAGAACTCTATCACTTGCCTTTTATTAAGTAAAAATATAATGCAATTCAATATTTTTTAAAGCAAAGGAATCTAGAATCTCCCATATTGAGAAACTGTATACATAAATTTTAGGTCAAAGATGATTTTTATGGCTTAACCACAAAACCAAAATTACATACCATACTGAAGAATAGAGTTGAGATGGTAAGTATAAAAACACACAATATACAACTACTATACTGCATAAACATAGCTGAAATAATATAGCAGAAAAAGTTCTGTTTTGTGTAACATTTCTATGTAGATAACCACTTCCTTTTTTAAACCAGAAAATAAGAAAACCACAGACTTCAACAGGAAACAAAAGTGTGCCTTATCACGAACAAATAACTTCATGTGTGATGTATTTCCTTAGTAACTTCTTAAAAGAAAAATAAATTGACTTATTGACACAAGATCCTACACAATATTTAGATCTTCTTTAAGTCCAACTGAATATATGCTGGTTTAGGAGAAAATACAATTGGTTGCAGTAATACACTTTCATTTCAAGGACAATTCTTTACGTAAAACATAAGTTTTACATAAAATTACATAAAACCATAAGTTCTTCCATAAAACCAAAATTATTAGTATTGATTTTTTCAAGATAATATAAAGATAAAATAGAAACAAGAACTGACTGTTGAATCTAGACCAGATCTTGCTCACTGTAGTTGCCAACAGTATTTTTTCATGTAAAGATTTAAAATGAAATGTGTGAAGTGATTAATAATTTACCATAGGCTTAAGAAGGTGAGATTCCCAAAATGTCAATGAACTACCATTATTACCTTTCTTACAACTTGGTGTATCAGAATATTCATTTTAGGTTCCCAAATTGAGATAATAAAAATAAAAAATTACAATTTGGCCACATGATTGTGTGACCAAATGGGTTTTCAGGGGCCAAATATGAGCTCACGTACATCCGCAGCCTTACTGCAAAGTGGATGGGTGAGACAGCACCAGAATGGGATGACAGCCTGTGCCCAGAATTTCGGCTGTGCAGCAAACATAAATTTAAAAGCACATAACACTTTGAAGAAATGTATCAAATATGTTATCTGCCAGGTGACATCTCTCAGCTTTCCAGAATGCCAAATTGTGCCAAACTGAAACCAAGAAAAAAAGGACTATTTACCACTAAACAAAGGACCACACTTTAAACTTACAACTTTGTGTATTCTAGCAACAGCTTTGGAAATTATCTGCATACAGACTAGCTGCATTCATCACATTAGATGAATTTGTAGCATATGTCAGAGAGATCAGTTGCAATTGTTTGGCATAGCTGTCACAGGCATCTACGCTGCTTAAGATGCATAAGACTTTCTCCTTGAGGTTTTTGTATGTGACTAAAAGAAAGAACACCACACACAGCTTGAAGACCTCATCCAAAGTAATTTGTTTCCACATGGCATTGTAACAGCACTGGGACAGATGGGAATTAATTGGGAAGGAGGTTAAATTCAACTGTAATAAGTGAAAAAATAAGTTCTTGATCTGTAGAACTGGTAAGTTCTTGATCTCCAGAACTGTACTGCACGTGTAAGGGCGAAGAACGAAAAATTAAAAAGTGGCATCGATTCTGTGCATGGTTCAGTGCAGGAAAAGAGTATATACACATAGGGAACCCATCATCATGACTCTCTTTATAGCCAGCGGAGAAAACCAGACACTTGTGGGTGTCCATATAAGGAGGAAATGTGTGGTCCCTATTTCTTTCTATTGGCCTAGGTATCTAGAGTTAAGGGACTCTAGATACCTAGTTCAGATGTGCATGTCCACTGATGTTAACATACGGACAAGTGAATCCCACTTTTGATGTCTGAGAAGTCCTTAAAATGTACTGGAGATCATGATCAATTTCTGGTAATTGATTTCCCTTGCTTTCTTTTAGCAGTAAGAGAAATTTATCTGTGGGAATTAGTACTCATTCATGTGTTGGCATTTTGCTTTGCTGCATGACTACATCTAAGTTAAGAATGTGACACGATTCTCTCCGATCGACTTTCTCACAGAAGTACGGCAATTTCGTACTCCTAGGAGAACCACGGAGAGAACGAGAGATGTAACCTACCATCTAATGTTTTCATGCTTCTGGTGCACAGTGCTTATGGTAGTTTGATGTGTGACAGAAAAGACAGCTGAGCTCTGTTTCTTCTCAGGCCATATTACACTTATTATACATACAAAGGAATTGTCTTTACATAAAGGAAAGTTCTATATAAAAGAATGCTATGTAAATATATTAAAAATATAAAAATATATATAATACATATATAGATGTATGTTGTAATATGCTTGTATGTTTTCCAACCAAGACTAGTTTCAAAATAACACTGGCTAAAAGTCAATCGAGTTCAGCAGCTACCAGATTTCTACTTCAGCACAGTGAATATTGGTGTGGTAGAAGCCTTCTCAATCAACTAATCCAAAACCCACATACTATATTGAGTTCTGAGTGTTAAGAAAATGCTTCTTGCATTTTCTAGGGAGTTGAACTAGTTTAGGAGTGCTGGTTTTAATTTTACTTCCCAAAAATATTTGCTCTGCAGCAATCTGAATAAAGTCAGATGACTTTTTACAGAGCCAGGGACATATCCTTACCTCCCCATTTTATTAAGATGAAACTAGAAGACTCGGCTAACCTCAAGAAAAACTGTGTTTTCAAGATTTTGGGAACCACTTTTCAAATGACTTTTCATTACTTATCACTTACCACTATCCAGATTGCCAGGAGGTACACCAAATCCCAGCATAACCCAAGAGAGCAGGTATGACTTGAGTTAGTTTTACAATCCTTAATTAGGCCTTAGCTTCAGTGACAGAGCAGCCATGGTTCTCCTATAAGCAGAATTGCCATAAAGGTTTTGATGTGGACTGTCAGGGAAATTGGGCTAAAATATTGTTAATATGGTGGATATTATGATACATATTACAGAACTATAACAGGAGAATTGTAACGCTGATTTTACTGAAAATCATGGGTATATTGTAAGTAATAACAAAGTTATTAGTCACAAATACTAATGTAGTACTGCAATATTTGCAGTAGGACTGCTCTGTTCTGTGACACACTGTACTATCACGTCCCACTTCGTCCCTCCATTTTCTTTTCCTTCCACTTGGACTTTCCCTGCTCAAACCTGCACTGGGCTTTGAGCACGATCTCTTCTCCCTCCTCCAGCAAGTACCGGAGCAGGACAGGCTCACAGCTACTACACCAGACCTCTGAGTTTCATTTACACTTAGAAGCTTAAGGCTCTAGCCTTCTAAATTTATTAGCAGTTCTGTCTAATGTGATTGTCAATATTCTCTGAGGGTAAAATTCACACCTATTTAGATGTGACAGTTTCATTTTCCTTCTTAGAAAGGAGCCTTTAGCTTCTCCAGTTGCTCTCTACGAAGTTAGCTCAGCAGGTCAGTGTCTTTTCATGATACAATTCCGGCTACATGACCTTCAAATATATCTTTATTTTAAACTTGTATATTGTCTTTTATGTTTCTCCTTCCCTCCATTGCCATTATTATTATGTTTATATTAAAAACAAAGATGTTGTTAAACAGTATTTAAATACCCCCAATTACCTTGAAACTTCCTATTACAAAATATTGTTTTTCAACCTTGTGTTCTTGCTTCCTTTTTATGACCAGTCACTGTAAGAAAGCCTTAAATGATAATTAGGCTTCAGCATCAGCAGAAAATTACTCTAAATATGTAATGCTTTGGCTACTTGAACAAAGTCTAAAAAAGGAATATTGTACCTTATCACAGTCTTATGCAGCAGGGTGTATTTTCCCTTCAGCTCAGCTACTCTGGTGCCTGTGATTTTTCCAGCAGAAAATAGCTATGGAAGGGAAACAACCAGTTATG